TTTAAACCCTTTCAAAGATAAACAATATGCAAACGGCAGTTGTAGTCTTTTCTGCTAGCGTTTTAAAACACTGATTTGAGCGACGTTATTCCGCAATTTCGATCTTTCGTAAACCTGGGATGATGTATCAAGGTCTAAAGTGAACGTTTTATCAATTTTTGAAAAATCAAGAAAAAAGTGAAAATTTCCCTTCTCGCTACCTTAACAATCCCAACTAACTAACGACACTAACATTTGCATACATAATTTTGCTTGTTATTTTTTTTATATTAGTGTATGCCAACATATAATACATCCCGGTATAAAACAATGCACGCAAACATGTATATTACATATTATAGTATACAAAAATACCAATAAACGAGTAGTAAACGTCTTGAAAATGTTGTTGTGATTGGTCAAAATATCCATTGTAATCAATACTAATGATACAATGTATAAAATGCATATGTTTCTCTTATGTAAGCCGAAATATGAATAGCATATAATAATAAAAATCCGCTATATTTGAAAATTGAGTTTATAATGTTTAAGTCTAAAAAAACGAAGTTGTTTTTGTTTCTGAAAGTTGGTTGAAGCTGAATGTGTCAAAACTGTCGACATCGTGAAAAGGGGAAAAATCTAATTTAATTGCAACTTTCGGAGATTCCATTTTGATGTGGCTCGATAAATTTAATAAAAGCTGTGATGACCAGGAGGTCTGTGGCTAATGACGGCCAAGTGAATTTCTAAAATTTTTCTGGAATCTAAAATCGCGGCTTTTGACGTAATTTCAACTGATGAATTAGCGGCTAATAATCACAATTTAAAGTTTAGCTATAGTTTTTAAAGTTATGCTTGGGGTGGCAACATCGTATGGGGTGCCGTTTATGCATTTAATTATTTAACGTTTTTTTATGGATTTAAGATTATTATATGTAAACGATTCTGTGATGTTTCATTATTAATAATTATGATATTTCGAATCAATATAAATTTACCATTTTCAAATTAATGTGTTGGACACTATATAATCTTAATATTTTACAATCCATATCCTTATATTTGAATCTGTTTCAAGACATTTGAAAAACAATATTTTAGAAGCATAACAATACAACAACTAGATTTGGTGTCACAGTTTGCTCCCAATTCATACTGGAATATTGCCAGCAATAATTAATAAAGCTTGTTCAGAAAACCATTTATTCTCGACATCGTATTCAATGGCTAGTTCTCAGGATCTACAATAGTAAATAAATAAACAGAAATCATTTTGATGCCATGTTTTTAGACGACACCGCCATATCGCACAGATATTCAACACCGCCATATCGAATTTGGATTTGGACCATACCATTTCAAGCTGTAGGGT